TCTTGAAAAGACTTGGTTATCTCACCAATCTGTTATCCCGACTACAGCTGCAGCCTTCACTAACAGAATGACTCTGGATTTCTCCCCCCCTCTTTGTGTTCTCCCCTTTATTGTCTGCTCAGTTTATTTTCACTTTAACACCTGTAGAAATAAGGGCTCTAAAAGCAAAGCAAAGGCACCATGCTGCGCTCTATTTACTATTTTTTTTTAAGTTTTGCACAGGAGAAATCAATACTTGCATTGTTTGTGGTATTCACTGCCAAAGAGGACACTGTGCAGAGGAGAAAATTAGCAGATAGAATTTTTGTCAACCTACTTTATAATGGTGAAGGATTTTAGCAACATCGTTTTTCTAACAATGGACTAGAAATGGGTATTTTGCTCAGGACCTGCCCCAGTTTAACAATCATGTTTTCCCATTAGCATTCTGCCATTCCCTTCTGACTCACATGGGCTCTCCTCAGTTCCAGCCATCAAAAGCTTATGTCCCCACCCCACCTGTCAGAAAGATGAGCCACATCCTTCAAGGAGGAAGAAACAGGAAAAAGCTACTCTTTAGACTTCTTTTCCCGTTATGGGAAGAGCACTCTGGACAATGCCACAGAAGACTTTTTCTATTAGATGGGACCATTTCTGAAAACACTGTGCACTGTCCCACACCATATTAACGGATTTCTCCACAAATAAGCAGCCTTAAGCCGGAAGTGTTTTCCTGCCAGAGAGTGTGGCAGGGAAAGGTCACAGGTGTTCAATGAGCGCCAAGGCTAGGCAAACTCTGTCCTTGCATTTAAAAACGAACAGCCATTGGCGAAAAGCAGCTCACATTTTTAAGACACTAGATCCTTGCTTGAAAAATTGCATTATATCACCAGTTCCATTCCACATGGCAACCAAATGAGTTATCTCTGGGCAGAATAAATGAACATAAAGCCAGGCAGTCACCCCAAACCTGCTTCTCTTTTTTCAATACACTAACTTGTTTATAGGTTGTCTTGACCGGACACTGAAGAAAAGGTGCCAAAAGCTATGGCTATTCCCATTTAAACACATTCAGCTGTTTATTAGGCAGAGATTTGTGATTAAGGTCCTGTGGATGCCAATTTAGCTTTCTAGAGATATTGGCAAATAGGACACCTCCTTCTCTAATTGACAGTTTCTTAAAGCCAACATGAACACTGGATCAACTAAACCCAATGATCACATTTATGACACATTTCTATAAGGCAGTGGTTCTCAACCAGGAGTCTGGGGCTCCTGGGGGGCCCGCGAGCAGGTTTCAGGGGTCCACCAAGCAGGACCAGTGTTAGAGTCGCTGGGGCCCAGGACAGAAAGCCGAAGCCCCACTGCATGGGGCTGAAGCAGAAGCCTGAGCAACTTAGCTTCATGGTGCCTGCTGTGGCATGGGGCCCCAGGCAATTGCCCTGCTTGCTACCCCCTAATGCTGGCCCTGGCTTTTATAGTATGTTGTGGGGGTGGCTCAGAATGAAAAAAGTTGCGAACCCCTGCTATAAGGGAATCGTGACCAGCGGTTTTTAAGGCTGCTCTTTAGCTTGCCCAATGAACCCTAGGGAAGTTGGCTTTAAGATTCAGAAAACAGCACTGCCTCCCAACAGTCTGTTAACTACCGCTGTGTTCATTTGCTGCACGGCATGAACAGCTCTTACAGCAACTGTAGTTTCGTTTGCTCAAAGAGTCCTGCAGAAAACTCACTTTAATATGGCTTAAATAATCCATGAAACAGACTAATCTATAATTGTTGGTTTTTGAAAAAGCACTTCATTGTGTCACTCAAACCAAACGCATCTGATCATTAAAACTTGCATGATTTTTCAATCTTCAGAAGGAGATTCTGCCTCAGCTGAAAGGTGATTTCATCAGAGTCAATTATGCTCCAGGGCCCGGATCTGGCCTGAGCTGTTAAACTGTTTTGAAACTGCAATTTTATTTTGCTGATCTTTCTGAACAATTCAAAATAGCAGCAATCTTGTTAGAACTGTCAGGACCCAGGAACTATCGGGTAAACTGGCTGTTTTGCAGGAAGCTTCTTGTAGGGGGGAAAAAAAAGTCATAAATGTTAATTTGCTTTTCCTCCTCAAGTACACTTCAGTAAATGGTTTTTCCTGTCCCTCTTTTCCCAAGAGGTATCATCCATCAAAATGCTGATGGGATTAATCTTTTGACCTAATCTAGTATGTGATACAGAGTCAGACTAGCATTATCCATATAGATTAAATTTGGGTTCCTCAAAATTATCAAAGAAAACCTCTTGAACAGCATGTAATCTTAGCAGCCTAGCTGCATAGGCAAGGAGATTAGGGAGTCAAGGTGGGTGAGATAATATCTTTTATTGGACAGAAGTTGGTCCAATAAAAGATATTACCTCACCCATCTTGTTTCTCTAATATCCTGGGACCAACACAGCTACAACACTGCACAGGCAACGAGACATAGTCGTGACTCCCAGCAGGAACATCCACAAAACACTGTCAGCAAAGTCCACCCCCAGCTTTTTTTTTTTTAAAAAATAGAATGTTTGCACAAGATGCATGTCTCTGTAGAAATCTTGTGTGTGTCCATTTTTCTCCGCCTGGCACCCCCATTGCAACCACATTTAGCAGTAAATTAAAGGGCTGAGGCCTGCCTTATGCCATACATGTAAAGTTTGTTCTACTTTCCGTTTTTTACTTTGGCTTTCTCAATCCTCTAACAAGTAGTTATCAAGCCCATTTGTCCAAAAAGTAAAGTGCTCATTTAAGCACTTACAAAAAACAACGCCACCTAGAACATATTTCAGGCCCAGCCTAAAATTTTTATCCTTAAAAGGCCTCTCTGCTCTGCAACCAAACCCCTAGGCCCAGCCCGTAATCAGTAAGTGTATGAAGGCTCTTTGCATCTTCCAGGAGCGCTGAGTATCTTGCATGATTAGACCCAGCTCAAAACTGGTACTGAAGCACAAGTCTAACAAGATACAGCCACAGTTTCCTTCGCAAAGAGAGCCAACCTGTGTCTATATTAAACCAGTATATAGACTGAGGCCAATAGATCAGTTCATAAATAACTCAGTCTCATTCCCCATAAAATACTTGATTCCTAGTTAAAAATTTAAGTGTTTAACTATATATAACACCACCACCCTAATCTTATATGAAGCTTCGATAGCTCTCAAGGTGCTTCATAAAGGAGGTCAGTAGCAGTATCCCCGTTTTACAGACTGGGAAACTGTGGCACAGAGAGGAGATGTGACTTGCTCAAAGTCACCCAGCAGGTCAGTGGTGGAGCTGGCAATAGAATCATAAACTTTAAGGTCAGAAGGGACCATTATGTTTGTCTAGTCTGACCTCCTGCACAATGCAGGCCACAGAATCTCACCCACCCACTCCTGTAACAAACCCCTAACTTATGTCTGAGCTATTGAAGTCCTCAAATCATGGTTTAAAGACTACAAGGTGCAGAGAATCTTCCAGCAACTGACCCATGCCTGAGGTATCCCGAGTCCCAATTCAGTGCTCTATCCACTAGGCCACATAGCTCCCGCACATTGCATGTAGAGTTTATACTGTGGATAGGGAGGCAAACATTTTCTTTCATTCATTTTCCTCACCTTTTTTTCCTTTTTTTTAAATAAAGAAAATGAGAAAAATGCTTGTGTGTATTAATTTTTTTCCCATTTAGACCCACTTAGATCTTGATAGTCACATCTCATTTAGGTGAATGGTGTTCACAGAAGAGAGTTTTCTGCAGAGTTAACAGGGCAGCACTGCATCAGTTTGTATGGCAAAGGCTGTATCTTTGCAATGGAAAAACATTTTTATTTTAAATGAAAGCTTGAGATTTGCAAACAATTGCAGTATGCAGCAAAAATCACAGGAGATCCCCAAATTATCCCCTAAATTACCACTGAAAAGAGTACTACACACCAAATGTTTGTGAAGAGATTTCACTTCTCCCAACAGCTGAAACACACACAACACCAAAAAAAGCCAGAGCACAATCCATCAAAATCTCTGTCTGGACCTCCAGTCTCTGGATGCTCTGAAAAGCTACAGGGGCTGCTGACTGTAGCAGGGGAAATTACCATTGCCATTACCAGGGGATATCAAGGTCAACCAGCCGTGGATGACATAAAACCCCCAAAAGACCTAAACTAATGCGAACTAGTGGGGAACTATAAAGCTGCCATTGAAAGGCAGATTGTGAGGAAAGTGGAGAAGAGAAGAGGAGAGCTCTTGTAAATAACCTCTTATGTCTTCTTCTCTACACAACACCCTATGCTCGTGTCTATTGTGGAGAAAGTGCAAAATTGTGTTTTGTGAGCGGATCCCATGTTTTGTCCCTGGATAGAGGCACTTTCACCCAACCCTAGGCTTAATCTGCCCCCATTATCTCCCGTGGCCAGTTTAATCAATAGAAATCTACATAAAAACGGCCATACTGGGTCAAACGAAAGGTCCATCTAGCCCAGTATTCTGTCTTCCAGCAGTGCCCAATGCGAGGTGCCCCAGTGGGAATGAACAGAACAGGTAATCATCAAGTGATCCATCCCCTGTCTTCCATTCCCAGCTTCTGACAAACAGAGGTTAGGGGCTGGGAATGAGCAACAGGGAATGGATTACCTGTTGTGTTCGTTCCGTTTGGGGCATTGGCCACTGTCAGAAAACAGGACACTGGGCTAGACGGACCTTTTGTCTGACCCAGTATGGCCGTTCTTATGTAGGTTTCTATTGATTAAACTGGCCACAGGAGATAATGGGGGCAGATTAGGTTTAGGGTTGGGTGAAAGCACTTCCATCCAGGGAAAAAACATGGGATCCACTCACAAAACGAGTAGTCAAATATTGTACATGGGAAGAGAAGCAGCACATGACATGCATCTATTATTTCAACTGAGTACGCAATCAAGGTATAAGCACTGTATGTTGCTCATTTTGCAAGTCCTTTTAAAAGTCCCAACCTCCCATTTTCCTTATTTTCAAGAGCACATACCCAGATTAGTGCATTACCTTTTGCTGCTTCAGACCGTTTGGGCAAATCAAGTGTATCAAAGTTCCTGTCCAGATCTCCATTTTTCTTTCCTGTACATAAAATAGGACAATAAATGACAAAGGGTTTCAGTGTATGGATAGAACAGTTACTGTACTGTGCATCTACAGTATGAGAGGTGGTAACAGTACCAGAACAAACAATAAAATCTTCTTTATATGTATATATTCAGCCTTCAATCCACATGCGTAGCCATTGTGTCTGTATGAGCAATTTAGGTACAAAACTGCACACCTCCTGGCTTGATTTACAAAGATTCTGACTATCTGCAGTTCCCTTCAATTCAGTGAGTCTTGTGGGTGGCTCAACTCCTCTGAAATTCAGGCCACTTAGCTTCATTGTCAAGTTATTTTCCTCACTCATAAATCCAGTGTATTGTGCCCTTATAAACAATGTAGACAAAAATTCTTGCCTCATGTCTTCCAGCTGCATGAGGCTCTCTCTCTGGTTTTTAGTAGAAGATACATCTTGACTACTAGATTCACTGTGAACAGCTATACATTGGAACAAGGATGAGGTTCAGAGAGAAACAGAATGGGCCCCCTTTTTAGTGCTATTTGCTTAAATGGTTCTGCAGGAAGGCCTGGATTTAATATATCGCAAAGAGGACAGCAAATAACCTCAAACTGCCCTTCAGTTAACACAGTGTAATTTTAGCTGCTTATTAGAAACCAAGGGAAATGATTTTGTGCTTTAAACACTTGGCTAAGGGATGTGGACAGATTCATACCATTACATTAACTTTAATTTAAAGGAAGTTTAATTTAGCAGAAAGTAGCACGCTGGACATTTTGACAAAACCCATGTAAAAATGGGCTTGCTGGTGCATGCATGAATTCAGGCTTTGAATTAGGGGCTCTGAAAACAGAACCTAAGAATGGCCATACTGGATCAGACCAATGGTCCATATAGCCCAGTATCCTGTCTTCCAACTGTGGCCAATGACAAGTGCTTCAGAGGAAATAAACAGAACAGGAAAATTATCAAGTGATCCATCCCTCAGCATCCAGTCCCAGCATCTGGCAATCAGAGGCTTAGGACACCCAGACTATGGCTCATAGCCATTGATGGACCTACCCTCCATGAATTTACCAAATTCTTTTTTGAATCCCGCTGCAGTTTTGGCCTTCACAACATCCCCTGGCCACGAGTTCCACAGGTTGGCTGTATGCTGTGTGAAGCAGTACTTCCTTGTGTTTATTTTAAACCTGTTGCCTATGAATTTCATTGGGTGACTCCTCATTCTTGTGTTATGTTAAGGGGAAAATAGCATTTCCTTATTCACTTTCTCCGCACCCGTCATGATTTTATAGACCACTATCGCTTCCCCCCTTAGTCGTCTCTTTTCCAAGCTGAATAGTTCCAGTCTTTTTAATCTTTCCTCATATGAAAGCTGTTTCATCCCCCTAATCATTTTTGTTGCCCGTCTCTGTACTTTTTCCAATTCTAATGTATCTTTTTTGAGATGGGATGATCAGAACTGCACACAGTAGTCAAAGTGTGGATATACCAAGGATTTATACACAGTAGAACCTCAGAGTTGCGAACTGACTGGTCAACTACACACCTCATTTGGAACCAGAATTATGCAATCAGACAGCAGCAGAGACACACACATACACACAAGCAAACAAAGCAAGCAAATACAGTGCAGTACTATGTAAAACCAAACTGCTTAAAAAAAATCAAGAGAAAGTTTAAAAAAAGATTTGACAAGGTAAGGAAACAGTTTCTGTGCTTGTCTCATTTAAATTAAGATGGTTAAAAGGTTTCTTCTGCATACTAAAGTTTCCAAGCTGTATTAAGTCAACGTTCAGTTGTAAACTTTTGAAAGACCAACCATAACATTTTGGTCAGAGTTACAAACCACCTCCATTCCTGAGGTGTTTGTAAATCTTAGGTTCCACTGTAGGGTATTATAATATTTGTATTATTATCTATCCCTTTCATAATGGTTCCTAACATTGCTAGTTTTTTTTTTTTTGGCTGCTGCTGCACATTGAGCAGATGTTTTCAGAGAACTATCCACAATGACTCCAAGATCTCTTTCTTGAGTGGTAACAGCTAATTTAGACCCCATCATTCTGTATGTATAGTTGCAATTATGTTTTCCACTGTGCATTACTTTGCATTTATCAGCATTGAATTTCATCTGCCATTTTGTTGCCCAATCATCCAATTTTGTTAGATCTCTTTGTAACTCTTCACAGTTTGTTTTGGGCTTAACTATCTTGAGTACTTCTGTATCATTTGCACATCTTGCCACCTCACTGTTTACCCCTTTTTCCAGACAATTTATGAATATGTTGAACACCACTGGTCCCAGTATAGATCCCTGGTGGACACAGCTATTTGCCTCTTTCCATTCTGAAAACTGACCATCTATTCCTTTTTTTTTCCTGTCTTTTAACCAGTTACTGATCCATGAGAAGACCGTCCCTCTTATCCCATGACTGCTTACTTTGCTTAAGAGCCTTTGCTGAGGGACCTTGTCAAAGGCTTTCAGAAAGTCCTAGTAAACTATATCTACTGGATCAGCCTTGTCCACGTTTGTAGACTCCTCAAAAGAATTCTAATAGATTGAAGTGGCAGGATTCCCCTTTACAAAAGCCATGCTGACTCTTCCCCAACACATTGCATTCTTCTGTGTGTCTGGTAATTCTGTTCTTTACTATAGTTTCAACCATTTTACCTGGTTCAGATGTTGGGCTTACTAGTGGCCTGCAGTAGCCAGGGTCGCCTCTGGAGCCTTTTTAAAAAATTGGCATCACATTAGCTATCCTCTAGTCATCTGGTACAGAAGCTGATTTAAACAATAGGCTATGTACCACTGTTAATAGTTCTGCAGTTTCATACCTGAGTTCCTTCAGAACCCTTGGGTGAATTCCATCTGATCCTGGTGACTTAGTACTGTTTAATTCAGGGGTGGGCAAACTTTCTGGCCTGAGGGACACATCTGAGTGGGGAAATTGCATGCAGGGCCATGAATGTAGGCCTGGGGCAGGGGGTTGGGGTGCGGGCGGGAGTGTGGGAGGGGTGCAGTGTACAGGAAGGGGCTCAGGGCAAGGGGTTGGGGCAGAGGAGGGGTGTGGAGTGTATGAGGGGGCTCAGGGAAGGGGATTGGGGTGCAGGAGGGGATGCGGAGTGTGGGACTTGGCTCAGGGCAGGGGTGCAGGGAGAAGTGTGGGAGGAGGCTCAGGGCAGGGAGTTGGGGTGTGGGGTGTAGGAGGGGTTTGGGGTGCAGGCTCTGGCCCAGCGCCTCTTACCTGGAGAGGCTCTGGAGTGGCAGCGGCATTCACCGGGGCCAGGGCCGGCTCCTTGCCTGCCTGCCCTGGCCCCGCGCCACTCCCGGAAGTGACTGGCACTATGTCCCTGCGGCCTCTGGGGAACCGCAGGCAATGGGAGCTTAGGGGAAGGTGATGGCAGCACGTGTAGCCCTCCGCTCCCCCTCCCCCAGGGACTTGGTGCCGGCTGCTTCCGGGAGCGGCTGGGGGGGCTGGCGGCGTGGCAATCCCACAGGCCATAGTTTGCCCACCCTCATTTAATTTATCAATTTGTTCCAAAAATAACAAGTGGGGAGATGAGGTGGGGAAGGATGATTTAATTTTCACCATTTTCCCCCTACTAAGAGGGAGGAGGAAACAGTCTGCTCTGGGGCAACCACACCTTGATATTGTGTTGACTTCAGGGTTCCTTACTATCAGAAAAGCATTGACAGATTAGAGAGAGACTTTAAAGGAAGAGCAAAAGGCTGGAGGGCTTAATGAAGAATTACTACAATATTTACAGTTTAGCTCTGGTTAACAACTAAGTGTGGGGGCAATCGCATACTTTTCACATTGCACAATAATCAAGATGGGAAAGGAATTATTTAGGATGGTACAAAGGGGTTTAACTAGGAGCAATGGGATGAAGTTCAGAACACCACCATTTAAGCAAGCTAGCAGTGCATCTACTGACTGCAGAATAATCTCCCACATGAAGGGTTGGAAGTTGCACCACTTGAGACATTTAAAAATATACAGGATAAAGCACTTGAAAATATAATGTAGTGAGCAATCTGGCTGTGTTGTAGGACTTGGTCATGAGATGGGAAAGACCTATGAGTCTGAAATGCAAGAAGCATCACTAGCTTGTCAATATTTTTCGCTCCAAAATAAACAAACTGCTCCCAAACCATTTACGGCTGGTTTCACCTTCCCCTGGAGTCAGTGGGAGCCCTTCAATTTACTTCAATGTAACTGGATCAGATTCTTAAAAAACATTTACCAACGTGACAATTGCCAACCAAATTCATCTCAAGACTACAGTTTGCCCCTACACCAGTGCAATATGGCTATCCCTTTTGTTCTTTATCAGACACTGGAAACATGCATCTAAAGCTCTGTTGGTTTGAAAAGTATGTTTTCTTAGTTGTACCAGACCATAAAGTCCCGTTTTCTTGTTTGCCAAAAGTTCATACCACCACATTTTGTTCCACTCCTTTTGAAAAATCTCTTTGCCAGAATGAGGGATGGGAATTAGTGATAGCCCTAAATTCTCACTCCAATTCTTGGGCCATGCAAAAAACTCAGTCATATGTTGCTTGGGGAGCTAGTGACACAGAGGAAGACAAAATGTCAGACATTATGATAGGATGCTACTTTTTATGGTGACAGTCAAACCTGGCTGTTCAGCTGAGAACCCTGCTCTGCTTGTCACTGCTCAGAGCTAAGAAAAATCCCAAGACAGAGGAAAAGTGGGATAGTGAAGGGAGGGTGGCTTAAAATTAGTGTTGGGAAAAGAAAAGCTCTAAATGAAGACAGAGGAACTTGCCTCCATTTTATCTATAGAATTTAGTTTGGGTAATAATTTTACTGCAGGCCATTAAGTTTTGTGTCCCTAGCACTGGCAAGTTTCAAACTCAGGGCAGTTCTACTCTGAAAATAAGCTTGTTAAAAGCGGCACCTTACTGAACAGATCTGTCCAAAGCCCTATCTATTTACTTTAAAATACGGTTTGGTTTTGTTATTGCTGTTAGCCCTGCCGAGTTAGCGCGGTAAGAAAATGAGCTAGATTCCTCTCCTTGTGCATCATCAACTAAATTGTTAATTAAATTCAAACAAGATAGTCTTGTGCATAATCTCTGAAGACCCAGTTTACGCAGGTGACACAGAGCCTATTTTAGGCTGCAGAGTGCAGCTGCCTGTTTATTAAGCAGTATTTCACACACAAAAAGCATTCTACCTGTCCTCTGTGATCCTCACTGACAGCCGTTCAATTTCTGGGCAAGGTATAGGTGCTGGCTTTCACCTATGAAGCCCTCAGTGGTTTGCCTCATGGTCACATGAGAAACAGCTTCTTTTTTCATGTGATAGGACAGCAGTTGTAACCAGCTGGCAGTTTAAAGGGAAAGCATTATTTTCTCAGTGAGGAGAGTCCTCAGTGAGTACTTTTCCCCGTTGGTCCACCAAGTGCCTGGGTTGGGAAACTGCAGATCATGTTACAAGACACCTAAATGTCCAGGGTTTTTCCTATGGGGAGGAGCGGATTAGGAAGGAGAAGTCTGTGATGTAGGGGAGGAGCCAAGAGAAGTCTGCGTGAGGATGGGAAGGTTCACAGAATTATGGCTTTTTTGAACCACTGAATTGTATTGGTTTAAATTGGTTTCTACAGCACCCACATGAGAGGGCGGGCACTTGTAAAAATGGATTAAATTTACAAATTTTGAATATCCAATCATAATTTTATCATAATTACAAAATTGGGTGACATGAATCTCTTCCCTATCCGATGTCACGCACAACTTACAACGCAAGATCGCCCTGTCCTACAAAAGTTCAGCCCTAAGCCCCTGACAAATTCAGCCATTCCTGCGGTGACAGTCATGGAGCACAGCGATGCTTAATGATTCCACTGGCAGATGACAACAAAAAGTTTTAAAGTGCAAAGTTTGTGCTTATGGATTTTTTTCCCTTCCTGCCCCTGACACGCAGAAGAAGAAAGATGATATTGCCAGATCTGAAGCCCAGCTCAGAACCTCGCCAAAAGACAGGCAGCTGCTGAGAGGCCTGTTTTATGGGGCCGGGCTATCAGAGCTCGCACAGTGTTCTGGTATGGGAAAGTAGCCTGGCAAGAAAGTTGCTTGTGTAATACATGATCTACAGTCATATAAAATGTGAAATTAAAGCTTCTTCCTTCTCATAAGGACTTATCAAAAACATTACTCTGGCTCACGTACTGTCATCCTTACTGGGTCAAATGCTTTCTAAAAAGTTGGTAAGGCCTTCAGGATGTGACCCTGTGTTATTTACAACTAATATTTCAGTGTTCTTCCCACAACAGTCCTATGCTTCCCTCAAAAAGCCCAAAGGATATCCCATGTCCCCCTTCCATTTTACACCATACTTTCCTCAAGGACAAAATCCCCAACCATCATCTTTCTGGGTGAGAAGAACTGAAAGGGAAAGAGCCCTGTAAGGGCCAGTTAATAACATGCTGCTAATTCATCAGCTAGAAAAATGCCCAGTTAAGTGACATGAGGCATTTGCTCCTCCCAGGGGCGGAGTGCCACCTTAGCAACACTCCTGTTCCAGGGCCTGATTAGTGGGAAGCTAGAAAGCAGGGTCTCCCTAATGACATTGCAGACCACCACTGGCTTTTCACCCTAGCCTTCTTCAATCCACTGTGCCAGCAGCAACAATCATTCGTCATCACCTGAAACCTATCCCATTCCAGCAGCCACTATCAAATCAATGGCAATAAACAACAGCACTTTTCATCTTCAAGCCACTGTACGAACTAATGAACCCTCAAAAGTAACAGGTGAGGGAGGTAAGCATTATCCTCATTCTGCAGAGGGGGAAACATGCGGTTAAGTGATTTGCCTAGGATGACAAATGGAGTTAGTAAAGAGCTGGGATTAGAACAGGAATTTCTGGCACCCACTCCCACATTCGACCACTAGACTATGTCTGTCACTATCCTTGGTGAGCAAAATTTAGCCATATGCATTTACCTGATCCCTTAGCACATGCATATAGGGCCAAATTCCCAAGTGCAATTCCATGCATTTAGTGGGCTTAAACTTTAGATGAATATGGCCCTGTATTCTTTACTGAGAGTGGCCCCTTCCAAATAGCACCAACAAGACTGGAAATAGCCCCTTCATCAGATGGACAGTTGGCATGCACCTAAGAGATCTTCAAGTGACAGCAGCAGAACCCCTGTATTGAACGTGTTGGGTCAGTGAGGCCACTGTGCCTAATCCTTGCATGTAAAAGGTGAAGGAAGGAGATTATGGCAATATTGGAAAGAGAGTACTGGAAGGACTCACCTTGATTGAACCACTCCTCTAATTACCAGAAAAGCAGTAAAGGAAAAACAAAAGTTTACAGGAAGGAAGAAGATACAAAGGAACAATCACAAAGAGGCAGAATTTCACAGCACAGAATCAATTTACAGGGCTGCTCTAACTCTCACTAATAAAAACACTTCCCACTTTCCCCCTCCCTCTTGTTCCTGCTGAAAGAGTGTTTTTTCCCCTGAAGGTTCTTTTTCTTTTTAGTTATTTCCAAAAACGCTGAAGGTAGTGGGGGGGGAAAGGAGGCAGACTAGCCCTTGGCAGAGGTGTTTGAAATGCTATGATCAATGACCATGAAATAAAACAACAAAACATCACAAGATTAAAAAAAAAAGACAAAAGAAATGACCTATTTTCAAGTGCTAGACCGAGAAGAGTAAGGAATTTTTAGTCTAGATTTTCATAGAAATTTAGAAGTAAGAGAAGGATTATTTTATTTATGTTTTTAAAAGCAGACTTACTAATGGGTTGGGTTTTTTTATACTAAGCCTGCCTGTCCCTCTCAACCCTTCTGATCTGCACATCAGCAGCTGGGAGCTCTGCATTGCTACTAGTCAATTCCATCCTAGAAAACAGCACGAATTTTTACAGCTGAGAGCTGCATGGGAAAAGTGCTAAAACATGCTTGGGAAAAATAACTGGGATTTTCTGCTGAACATTGTGAGCCAAAATTGAGAGGCCACCAAGTATCTGCATCTCTCACTCAAGTCAATGGCAGTTTGTCCTCAATGTCGCTCACACTTTTGGTCCCCATTTTCCCCAAAATACAACCCCAAAATTTTTGGCTGATAAATTCAGAAACCATATACAGACAGAGAACATATATAGGGCTGAGTCCTATGGGAAGTGGACAGACATCTGACATACAAGAGCAGAGCAGTCATTTAGAAGTCCTCAGACTCTTCACTCATCAAGATGAAAATCATTAGAGCTCAGCAATCATGCTCTCTCTCTCTCTACACACGGAATATATTTCACACATCAGATTTATTTTTCACATGCTTCCACCCCATTGGCATTGCTCTCAAGTGGCAGGATAATATGGACCCACAAATGGAGAGAGCAGATGGCCCAAGTGCGCATAAGTTAATTGTTTGTAAAGAAAATCATATTACCTTTTCTCATATACACAGTATAAGTTCTGGCCAAGCAAGTGATGTTTTCTGCCTCCTCAAAGAGTTTTTCCAATTGCTAAAGACCTATTTTTTTTTATTTAAAATTACATTAGGTCAAGCTGAAGACAGACTGTAGTTACTGATATACATACTATAATAACTACTGTAGTACACTGAAGTAGAGCAACTTGACACCAGCTATTTAAGTTCAGTATATGTGGGGGGGACTAAATTTTTAAACCTAGGAGCACAGGTTTGGGCCCTCAAATATGCGGACTCAAATTAGATCAATTCCATACCTGGCCAATTATCAACATAAAAAAACCCCAAACAGTATTTGGCTACCTATAGTAATCTGAGTACACACAAACAAAGAACTGGGTGCCCAACTTGGAAACTTTAGCAATTCAGTCTGGAAGTTGAATTTCCTAAACTAATGAGAAAATATATAAGTTGAGTGTCAGTATTTGAAAGGAAGATAAAAAGGAGGTTTACTGAGACTTTATTAATCCCCTCTTGAGATGCAACATATTTGTGACACTTGTGCCCAACATGGAGAGAACAGGTCTAAAGTGATTGACAATTAAAAGCTACCAGAATCACATTTGCCATTTAAATGAATGTAAGAGTGACGGCGTTGTGCTTTTTAAAAAAAATGTGATAGATTAAAAAATATGAAACAGGCAGAGACGGGACAACAATGCATGGAAATTAGCGTGTACTTGGCTTGTTTCCAAATAAATCAGCAAATGCTGTGGAGCAAGATGGATGGAACTAATGTGAAACTTTCAGGGGATTTGATGCATGAGGCAACAATGGCACATGATGAGACGCCAAACACATCAGCCTTCGCCAGCAGTGGACATGAGGGGGCTGGTCATACTTCAGTGCACATAACCACTATGGTTAAATGGATGTTACACATACATATCAATGAGAGAATAGTTCCTAAAATATTTAGTAATAATGAACAGGGAAGATCAACACATGCCCCAATCCTGCGCAAACAGACTCAGAGTCCGAAAACATGCAACTGTATAACTCTACTCATGTGAATAGTCCCGTTGGCACCAATGAAGTTACTTATGTTAGTAAAATTACACAAGCTTGCTTGCAGGAGCACGGGTATACACAGCAATACATCGATGTGACTCCAAGAATCACTCTTGATTATGAGACCACTATGACACAAACCTTTAGCTTTCTTTCCTCCAAAGCAGCCAGCGTCATCTTTTTTCTTCTTCTGAGAGCCTCCTGTGCTGGTAGGTTGATTTGCATCCAGCTCTTGGTACTTGTCGGCTCCTGGGACCTCTTTGTGGACGTGATATGAAAGGTTTCGCATAATGCACACACAGTTCTCCACAGACTGTTAGAAGAGATTTAAATTGGAAGAAAAACTGAACACACCCTCATATTTGCAAAGTTTTATGTTACATGAGGGAAGAATGAAGTTTTCTAAGTGGATTTGATCAAATAAGCCTTAATTTAAGGTTCTATTAAACCAATGTTTTAAATTTAACACTCTTCATAAATAGCACCTATGCAAGATGCAGGTTCTCTGATCAAAGATACCACCAGATCTTGTTTAAAGAATATAGATTTACCAGAAGTTCAAATTGACTATAAAAGATGTACTGGGCAGTTACTATATCATCAAACATTTTCCTTTTCCGATACACCCTTCCCTCCTACATCAAGAGACCCATTTAAATGAACTTTCTCTGGCCCAAACTTCGGGCTTGCATTGAAATCAATAGGAGTACAAGCAGACCTTGTAGTAATAGTTAATCCTTAACAGTTCTCTGTAGGCTGCAAAGGAAAACATCAGGTGGTTTCAAAATCAACTTACAAAATGGTCTGTGATTAAGTGACAAAGCTTTCGAATGCAGTTTGCTTCTGCAGGTCTCATACAGACGGAGACTCATTAGTTTGAAAAAAATATAAAGCTAAGACATTTTATATAACCAACAAAGCATTCAGAGTAATAAAGTTCTACCACATTCTCTGACTTCTCAAGTACATGAAGGCTTTTGGCCTTCTGCCTCATAAGTTACTTACATGTTATGGGATGTGGTAAAACCATATGGGCCAAGTTGTACCCTGAGAGAGCAATCAACACTTGCTGACTTCAGTGGGAGCAGCATGAGAACAGAATTTGGCCTCGAAACAATATGTACAATATTGTCTCAACAAGACTAAGTTCCCTTGGGCAGGGACTGTCTCCTTAGTTATATTTTATACAGAGCCCATCATAATGGGGCCCCAATTCTGACTTAGGGCATTAACGTAAAATAACTGAGGAATAATTATAATAATAAAATGCCATTGCATTTACTGTAGCATTATCTTTCCACTTGCTTCCCCCACCTCTAATATTCCTTATTCATATCAGACAAGCTAACAATGGTATCACTCGGATGACCCGAGTGGATGGGAATCTGGGAGGCAGTGACCATGAGTTGGTTGAGTTCAGGATCCTGACGCAGGGAAGAAAGGTAAGCAGCAGGATACGGACCCTGGACTTCAGGAAAGCAGACTTCGACTCCCTCAGGGAACGGATGGCCAGGATCCCCTGGGGGATTAACTTGAAGGGGAAAGGAGTCCAGGAGAGCTGGCTGTATTTCAAGGAATCCCTGTTGAGGTTACAGGGACAAACCATCCCGATGAGTCGAAAGAATAGTAAATATGGCAGGCGACCAGCTTGGCTTAATGGTGAAATCCTAGCGGATCTTAAACATAAAAAAGAAGCTTACAAGAAGTGTAAGGTTGGACATATGACCAGGGAAGAGTATAAAAATATTGCTCGGGCATGTAGGAATGATATCAGGAGGGCCAAATCGCACCTGGAGCTGCAGCTAGCGAGAGATGTCAAGAGTAACAAGAAGGGTTTCTTCAGGTATGTTGGCAACAAGAAGGAAGCCAAGGAAAGTGTGGGCCCCTTACTGAATGAGGGAGGCAACCTAGTGACAGAGGATGTGGAAAAAGCTAATGTACTCAATGCTTTTTTTGCCTCTGTCTTCACTAACAAGGTCAGCTCCCAGACTGCTGCGCTGGGCATCACAACATGGGGAAGAGATGGCCAGCCCTCTGTGGAGATAGAGGTGGTTAGGGACTATTTAGAAAAGCTGGACGTGCACAAGTCCATGGGGCCAGACGAGTTGCATCCGAGAGTGCTGAAGGAATTGGCGGATGTGATTGCAGAGCCATTGGCCATTATCTTTGAAAACTCGTGGTGAACCGGGGAAGTCCCGGATGACTGGAAAAAGGCTAATGTAGTGCCAATCTTTAAAAAAGGGAAGGAGGATGATCCTGGGAACTACAGGCCAGTCAGCCTCACCTCAGTCCCTGGAAAAATCATGGAGCAGGTCCTCAAAGAATCAATCCTGATGCACTTGCATGAGAGGAAAGTGATCAGGAACAGCCAGCATGGATTCACCAAGGGAAGGTCATGCCTGACTAATCTAATCGCCTTTTATGATGAGATTACTGGTTCTGTGGATGAAGGGAAAGCAGTGGATGTATTGTTTCTTGACTTTAGCAAAGCTTTTGACACGGTCTCCCACAGTATTCTTGTCAGCAAGTTAAGGAAGTATGGGCTGGATGAATGCACTATAAGGTGGGTAGAAAGCTGGCTAGATTGTCGGGCTCAACGGGTAGTGATCAATGGCTCCATGTCTAGTTGGCAGCCGGTATCAAGTGGAGTGCCCCAAGGGTCGGTCCTGGGGCCGGTTTTGTTCAATATCTTCATAAATGATCTGGAGGATGGTGTGGATTGCACTCTCAGCAAATTTGCGGAGGATACTAAACTGGGAGGAGTGGTAGATACGCTGGAGGGGAGGGATAGGATACAGAAGGACCTAGACAAATTGGAGGATTGGGCCAAAAGAAATCTGATGAGGTTCAATAAGGATAAGTGCAGGGTCCTGCACTTAGGATGGAAGAATCCAATGCACCGCTACAGACTAGGGACCGAATGGCTAGGCAGCAGTTCTGCGGAAAAGGACCTAGGGGTGACAGTGGACGAGAAGCTGGATATGAGTCAGCAGTGTGCCCTTGTTGCCAAGAAGGCCAATGGCATTTTGGGATGTATAAGTAGGGGCATAGCGAGCAGATCGAGGGACGTGATCGTCCCCCTCTATTCGACATTGGTGAGGCCTCATCTGGAGTACTGTGTCCAGTTTTGGGCCCCACACTACAAGAAGGATGTGGATAAATTGGAGAGAGTCCAGCGAAGGGCAACAAAAATGATTAGGGGTCTAGAACACATGACTTATGAGGAGAGGCTGAGGGAGCTGGGATTGTTTAGCCTGCAGAAGAGAAGAATGAGGGGAGATTTGATAGCTGCTTTCAACTACCTGAAAGGGGGTTCCAAAGAGGATGGCTCTAGACTGTTCTCAATGGTAGCAGATGACAGAACGAGGAGTAATGGTCTCAAGTTGCAGTGGGGGAGGTTTAGATTGGATATTAGGAAAAACCTTTTCACTAAGAGGGTGGTGAAACACTGGAATGCGTTACCTAGGGAGGTGGTAGAATCTCCTTCCTTAGAGGTTTTTAAGGTCAGGCTTGACAAAGCCCTGGCTGGGATGATTTAACTGGGAATTGGTCCTGCTTCGAGCAGGGGGTTGGACTAGATGACCTTCAGGGGTCCCTTCCAACCCTGATATTCTATGATTCTATGACCCAATTTATGAAACTAGATTATCCTTCCAGAATATCCTTAGACAAATGCAGACCTATTTTGCACGAGCAAATAAAACTTAGCTTCTAGTGAAGTCAGAGCTCGACCCCTCAACAAATACAAACACTCATCCAAATTGTAATACACAAGATCACCTTGTTATCTGTATCCTTCTTGCCTACTGCAGACTGTAGAGCATGAAGGAGAGCGTCCACTAAGCCATCACACTCTCTTAGTCTTCTGCGAGCTTCTGCGCCATCTGAACTTACATTCCTGACAAAGAACAAATGCAAAAGAAACATTTAGCACCGTAACCTTTACAATAAAGGTCAAATCTACGCTGCTTTGTGTTATATTTTTGAAGAACCCAACACATGTGGATAAACCCTGGGAGTTTTCTGGTAATGAAAAGCAGATCAGCTGGAGAAAGTCTGACAAACCATGGGATATTCTTTGCCTAGTGTCTGAAAAGCATGGACCACAAACCTGCAAATTAACAACTCTGAATGAAAACTGGATTAGATGGTTATAGGAAGTTTGATCTGCTCATTCTTCTGGGCTTCCATTGCAGCTCAAACCTCATGTGTCACAGCTACATGCACAATACTTATCCCAGTTATTACACAGAACAGGCCAAACCCTTAATCCCTTCTCAGCTAAATTCATTTGAAGTAAGAGCACTACCTTTCAGGGCCTATAAGCTGGAAGTGTTTCTTCTGTGAGTTTTATCATCTTAAATCAGACAGATCATTTGTAGAGGTTTTTCTGAGGAGTTTGCAAAGTTACAATCATCCCCAAACCAAAGACTCCAGAGTAGCAGCATATTTCCAATGAATCCACAGGAATTAAAAAATAAGCAGACAAGTCTCTTCACGTACAACATGTTTTTAGTTTCATGAGACAACAGATATTAAGATTAAACAGAAATACAAAGGGCTAAGGTTTATTTAATCAGACTCTATACATTTTCACTTTCGTTGGCACTAAGTTGCACCAACAGAAGCAAGAGTCTACCTGTAAAAATTTTAAAAAGGGCATTTTTCACTACATGATCTCTGATTAGTCAAAAGCACGTGACAAAGCTGAAAACTGCACAATTACGGAGCTGATGGTTTCTCGTGCATACAAACAAGAAGTTGCTTCCAATACCAGGACTTTTTTTGTCTCAACCCTTAATCATGCCAGTGTCAATGCAGAGGTGAAACTAGTGTGCAGAAACTTACACAGTTTTTTTGTTTACACAGAAACAAAGCAGTAGCCTGCACTGTCTGCAGTGCACTGGCCTTTCTCTGCTGCCTTCGAATAGAACTCAAACACTGAAGTCCTCCCACTTCTCATTAGTGGGAGGTTAGTGGGTTATACATTGTTGTAATAAGCCATAAATCCAGTGTTTTTATTAAGACCATGATTTTTAGTGTCCAACAATAATGTGAATTTAAACTCCCAGGCTCGTCATTTGAAAGTGTTGTGCAGATTTCCTTGTAGGATGAGGACCGATAGGTCATATATAGAGTGATCACTTTGTGGAAAAAAAAAAGCGTTCACACACAGGTGACACGGTGTTGTCGTCTTTTATCATTTTCCTGTGTGAGTCCATTCAAGAGCGTAGCGATTGTCTGGTTTCACCCACATAGTTGTTATTGGAGCATTTATTGCACTGGCTAAGGTACAGCACATGTTGTGATAGGCATATGTAGGACCCATGAATCTTGAGACGTGTATTGTGCGGTGTATTGATCATTGTAGCAGAGGAGATATACGTTTGCAGGTTTTGCATCTCTTGGTCTGGTAGGGTCTGGTGCCACTTTGACTTCGTGTGTCCTGGTCTGTGGGGAGCTTGCTTCTGACGATGAGCTTGGAGCAGCTGGGGGGGTCGTTTGTCTACTTCTACATGTAGTTCTTTATATTGGCTCAAATTTTACTCCATTCCTGTGGAATTATGCAGTAGAATGTCTCATACAGTAGGGTATCCAACTGGTCTTTCTGTCAAGTTTCTAGGCAGGGCAAACTTCGCACAACCTCCCTTGTAGCTCACTTTTCACTATCAGTCATTAATTTGGACCAGTCACAAGATGGCAAAACAGCTTTGTGGCCTATATAATTGATTTTGCTTCAGAGATCTCTCTTCCACTGAGAAATCTCCAGTAAATTAATATCTTCCAAATCCACCACAGCCTGAAAGTGTTAAGAACATAACTTATGCCCAAATAAATTTGTTAGTCTCTAAGGTGCCACAAGGACTCCTCGTTGTTTTTGCTGATACAGACTAACACGGCTACCACTCAGAAGAACATAACTGGTACTCTTCTGCTGCCTCAGCCCTTCCCCCACCTCCACAAAACATTTTTAAGGTTTAGGTTTAAGAACAGATGCAAAGCACTTGCCATTGTTAAGATGGCCAGCAACCCTGGAATCCTGCAGCTTCAGAGGAGAAAGTTGGGTTATGAAATGGAGCAGATGTGACTGAGAATAAAGTTGCAATTTTTGCCTAGCTGTGATACATAGTCTAGGGGAAGTAATGTTTCTGTCACAAACAAAAGAAAAAAAGCAAAATGACATACTGTTTGTTTCCCTTTACAGGCCCATCTGCCAGAACCTGAGAAGCAGAAAGAGGACAAGGGAGGACCTTCTGATGGAGATGCGTAGGGACGTTGGCAAAAGATTGGACCTCCGCTCTGAGCTACAGAGGAAGGCACGAGAGCAGGAATGGCAATTCCAGACTGCAGCTGAGAGGATGCTGGAGAGGGAGGAGATGGTGGCTGAACACATTGCCCATGAGACAGCAGGTCCACCAGTAGCAAAGTGAGGAGCACCAGCAGCAAATGGATACGTTCGAACACATGCTGGGTATTATGGCCAGCAAGTGGGTGAACAGCCAGCCCAGGTTCAGGCCCAGCTTCAGTCTTCTACCATCACCTCCCTGCCATGCTACCATGAGCTGCAGCTTCTGGCAGCATGATCATGCTACCAGATCATTCACTCAGTGCTTGTGATCATAGGTCAGAATCACAGGTCTGAACAGGGACATTGCACAGATGTGGTTGCCCCATCTTAAAAAAAAAAAAAAGATATACTGAAATTGGAAAAGGTTCAGAAAAGGACAGCAAAAATGCTGAGGGGTATGGAACGGCTTCCGTATGAGGAGAGACTAATAAGACTGGGACTTTTCAGCTTGGAAAAGAGATGATTAAGGGGGGATATGATAGATGTCCATGAAATCATGACTGGTGTGGGGAAAGTAAATAAGGAAGTGTTATTTACTCCTTCCCAGGAGGCAAGAACTAGGGATCACCAAATGATAGGCAGCAGGTTTAAAACAAACAAAAGGAAGTATTTCTTCACACAACACAACACACAGTCAACCTGAGGAACTCTTTGCCAGAGGATGTTGTGAAGTCAATGACTATAACAGGGTGCAAAAACGAACTAGGTAAGTTCATGGAGAATAGGTCCATCAATGGCTATTAGCCAGAATGGGCAGGGATGGTGTCCCTAGCCTCTGTTTGCCAAAAGCTGGAAATGGGTGACAGGAGATGGCTCACTTGATGATTACCTGTTCTGTTCATTCCTTCTGGGGCATCTGGCATTGCCCACTGTCGGAAGACAGGATACTGGGCTAGATGGACCTTTGGTCTGACCCAGTATGGCTGTTCTATGTTCTGAACGTCTGCATTATGCGTGTCCACTCCCGCATCATGTCTGCAAACAGCTTGCGTGCTCGCCGCAAGAAAGCACGTCACCACCTTCTCAGGGTGACGAGCCACTGCTGAAAGGCTGCTTCACTGCATCTCGTACCCAATATGGTGCTTGTGTGTCCAAAACGACCATACTATGAAGATCAGCATTTTGCAAAACTCATCGTTTAGAACTGGATTCATGGCTTCCCACCGGAGTGCAGACAAACACCATCAATGGATTTCAGAGTAGCAGCCGTGTTAGTCTGTATCCGCAAAAAGAAAAGGAGTACTTGTGGCACCTTCGAGACTAACAAATTTATTTGAGCATAAGCTTTCATGAGCTACAGCCTACTTCATTGGATGCAAATGTTTCCATCAATGGAAATGGTGCGCTGTAATAAATTGCTGGGCAAATACTACAATCTGTGTGCCCACAGCAGACAAACAAACATTCTTCTGAACTACACTACAGGTTGGAGAAGGAGCAGCTTGGAATGGTGCAAAGAACCAAGGGATATGCCCCAGAAAGCAAGTGTCTCCGCTCAAGTCAGTATTGTGACAAGTGTATAGGCAGTAACTTGAGCATAGCTCAAGTCACCTTTTGCAGTGTGGCCACTCTTATCTGGAATGCAGCTCCTCAAATATACTACTTTGAACTAACAGTGCAGTGAAGACAATTTCTTGGACTGTAAAGCTCTTTGAGACAGGGACTCTACCTTTTCTGGATCTCACACACTGAAAGAACTAACTGCTCGTGCCTGCCAATTTCATATTACCATTAAATTTTCCAAGCATTGCAAGGGAATTTAGCTTCCCTACTTCCACTGAAATTAAAGGGAATGAAATGGCAAAATGCTTCTGCACCATGCTTGAGTACATTCCATTGTCACCAAAGACAGACATTACTAATATCAATAGAAACATAGCCAATGTGTCAGCTTCAGGGTCTTTGAATTTCACAACCCCATATTAAAAAATGTTCTCTCTCAAAAGTCCAAATAATGAAATCACTGCCTTTTTCCATTTGGACTATTCAGCCAATTCTTCTTCAAGTATAAGTACTGCCAATATTGTTCAATGTAATTAACAAATTAATAATTTTCCACATCTTTATGGGCACGTTGAGATGTTAGTTAGACAACTAGAAGGAAACATTTGCTCAGAGACCTTTCAAAATATGAATACACATTTAATTGTAAGTTGCATGTTATAGCATATTAACTCTCTATAATTAGAATGCAAGTAAAATGTAGTGATAAATAAATCCTATTCTCAAACAATAACATACATCTCAGCTGGTAACTGCCGATAAGGAGTGGGAGAAGTGAATACCACGGACGAGTTTTCATTGGATACATGGAAAATAGCATTCTGTATGGTATATTTTCTCCTCTTGTATTAATCCAATAGCATCAAGAGCCCAACTGTGAATTTTAACTTTGTGAAACTGAAATTAGGATTCAAGTTCTCTATGGTACCTTATAGCAGTTATAAGAATTATGATGAGAGATGCTCCGCTTTCAACTACATTAAAATGGAACTCCGCTTTCAACTACATTAAAACTACTTGTTAAGCTGAAGGGTGGCAGATATACA